GTAAAATTTTTTTAAAACAATTGTATCATTTTACTATAATTTAACTGCTTTGCTCCCTTCTTCTCCACAGGAATCCATCACTGAAGCAGCAGCTGCCATCTTGGGCTTTGCCCTGTCGGAAGCTATGGGTCTCTTCTGCCTGATGGTTGCATTCCTCATTCTCTTTGCCATGTAAACACCTTGGCCCTTACTGTACCAGGACACATCAAAAAGTTCAAGAGTCAGCAGTTGGAATAGAATGATTTCAGCTTGGTGTATTGTTTAAATCTTATCAGTGTTCCTTGCAAGATTGCTACTCTGTTGAGAACCTCTGCTAAACTCAAATCATTGTCATGATGGGTCTAAACTACTGTGTATTTAATTAAAGGGTTTGTTGACGAACATGCAGCCTAAAACAGAAGTAAAACACTTAATTCTTCATCTGCTTTTGTGTTTTTTTTTTTTTTTTGTTATAGAGACATGGTCCTAGGAGTACTGTCATTTTTATTTATTATAGATATTTTCACTAAACTTATGGTCTTACTTCCACTTAAGAACAGAAAAAATTGAGGTTTTGGTATGTTACAAAAATTTAATGGAGAAAAAAAAGGCTTTTTTTTTGTTCTCAACAAAATGAACAAACTGTGGTGCCTTTTGGAGAAGATATTAAAAGGTATGGGTTAAGGCTTCAGCTATATTGAAAGGGGAGATTACAGTTGGCTATCAGAATTACTTTATTAATCCCTTGTGGGAAATTCTTTTACGGTGCAACAGCTTACAGAAGATGGAAGCATAACATTGTAAGTACAATAGAGCAAAATAAAATATAAGAATGTATGAAGTAACTAAATTTAAAAGCCACTCAATAAAGTTACACCCTTCAAATATAAACAGTGTAAAATAAGAATAAGATATGGATCTCATTATATACAATCAACAGTATTAACAATGGTGCTTAGTACTTGTTCCACAGCAGCAGTGCATCAGAGGCATGCTCTCATTAGATCAAGTTAATTCAAATTGTGAAGATTAACTGAATTGCATGTTTTGTTTTGTGAGGGAGATTTTAGGATATTTTTCTCATTTTAAAATACAGGCTTTAGAAAACCCTATATGAAAGGACGTTTTTCAAAATACTCAGTTTCCATATCCTAATCCATATAGCATAAGGACAGCTCTGGGGTCCTAGCCATTCGCTCACTATCATTGTGTTACATGAACCAGGGCCCATACAGTGTTTCTTCACATGTTCGCGGATATATGCCAATTCGACACATTGACGTTCTAAAATGGTGAATTTAAACAGTTCTTTACATTTGTGTAACTTTTGTTTATTGTAGTCTTGTTCTTTTCCAAAAAAGCCGCAGTCAAAATTTGACGGCGTGTCCGTTCCACAATGACAGCTGACAGAAGTCCAAGGATTAAACAAAAACAGGCAGACCCGCTGTTCTAAAATATGTCTACGAGCACCATCTACTAACAACATATAGGATGACATTGCGAATTAATTTGATTGCAATGCACTAAATATTACTAAATAAATTATTGGAATTTAGATGTTATTTTATATTTTTTAAGAGATTTATTTTACCAGAAGTGGAACTGTATAGTTTGGATAAGCGATCGGGGACGGATTTAATGAACGTACCCATCTGGGTCACCGAATTATGGGTCAATAATAATGCTTATTTTATTTTGTGTGCGTGTTAATTTGCTTAATTCAAGATATTTCAACCATGCAACACAGCATCCAGTTAAATGATTTTACATTATGTGGAGGACAATGTGTCCCAAACCTCCGTGGTTTTTGACTTCGATTTCCGGTCGCAGTGGTTCGGAAAGTGTACTACGGCAAAGCTCTATGAAAGGCAAGGTAATTCGTTTAAAGTTACTTACTGTTCGGCAAATGTACCATGTTATTAATTTTGTGATATTGGAATGGCCGTATAGGGCACACATTTGATTTAAAGTAAAAAATGATAATAAAAAAAAAGGTTAAAACTGTTGATTTCTGTGTTCAGCTCGGCTTGCTCTTTTCTGGGTTGTTTTACACACAGTTTCCACCAGGTGGCGCTGATGTATTGAAATATTAAATCCTGTAAAATCCATCTATACAGAATATTAACTTCAAAACCTGAGTTTTTTTTCTTTTAAACTAATCAAAGAACTAGATTGGTTTGTGGTGACCCCGAGATGCAAAACTAGAATCAATTTTATGAAAAATATAATTGATTCCTTGAACCATAATAAAGATATATAAAAAGTCAAACAAAATCTCTGATGATGCAAACAATCTCTTCTGCATTTATTACGTGTTATAAAAATGTAATAGAAATATAGCTTTAGAAAATAAACTTATTTTAAAACTTAACCTAGTAAGAGGGTCTAAGATATTTTTTATGATTTTTTTTGTCACTTGTGACTGTTTTCAGGCAGAAAAAGTTTAGAGGGAGTAGGTTAGGTGGTCAATGTAGACTTCAAAAGGGTGCGTAGAGTAGTATTAACCCCCATGTAAAATGTCTCTCCTATAGATCTTCCTTATCTAGAAACTTTGTGTATGACATTAAACAAAGCCCAATTTCTTCTAGATATGCTCCTAAAGGGAAATACAAGAAAACAGATCAGGAAGTAAAGTAATTGTTTTTTGAGCTTCATAACCTATAAAATGAGTAAAAATGGGTCACAGCTCATTAATAGAAAAACAACCCACATCTACAGCTATAGCAGTATTTTAAAGATTATAAAAGCTAAAAAAGAACTCTGAAACTGTGACACTCTTTGATAGTTTTTATAGTCATGTATGAGTCACTGATGTCTTTCATTTTGGGTGACCAGCGACCCCCCAATATTTGAAATGTAAAATTGGTTTTATCCTCTGATCTTATCTACCTCTGTAAAGGGCTGAGTTACACAGTTAAAACCAGTTTGCACTATAATATAATACTTATAATATTGTTTCATGTTTTTCAATAAAACAAGATTTGAATATCAAAGGTTATTGTATATTATATTCGGTACATATCCAGCTGTAAATTTAGTTCATAACACTAGTGATCTATATATTATATTCATTATTTATAATGGTATTCATCTCTATACTCATTCAGTAGAAACCCATGTCCTGTATTTATGGAACCATTATTTATCCTGCACTTGCTGCTATTGCACTATTGGTTAGACCTAAACTCGTTGCGTTGTACCTGTACATGTGTAATGACTATAAAGTTGAATTGAATCTAATCTAATCTTAATTGCTACCAGTTAGACGAAAAAAAGTATCAGCCAAAATCAAGGTCAGCTTGTCAAGCTTTTAAATGGTTGACAATTAGCCATAAAACGGTAATGGTCACCCCCCAGTCACCATGTCATCTTTTGTGAGTAACCCTATTCAGAGTGCCAACATTTTACAGGATGCTGTCTCTTTCCTAGGTAAGAAAAACATGTAAAAGCAAGAAACTCCCGTGTCCGTCAGTTCTCAACCATTTTGACCAACAGTACAGCGAGGAGCTGGGGGACTTGTGGGCACCTGCAAGGTGAATTTATCTTTAATGATTTTCCAGCTCACTATCCATCAGTACTTTAACTGTCCTTCCCGGACTCTTTTTTCTTTTTCTTTTTCTTTTTTTTGCTCTGCAGGGCAGTGCTGCTGGACCCTCCATCATGGCAGTATGGGGTCATGTTAAACCGCTTCAGCTCTGTGGCAGACATCACACAGCTTCTTCTAGCTCAGGGGTTTTCATTGTTGCTGCCACAAACAGATGTCTCGAAGCTGCCTTATAATAATGCCTCCTCTGTGTCTAATTCTACACATCAGAAAGGAAAAGGCACTCTGTCACATCTCTATTTCTCAAAGTGCCCTCCTGAGGACTTAAGTCTCCAACCCTTCATTACCTACCATGCATCCAGTCAGCCCCATCAGTCAGAGCTTCCTCTCAATTTTCCTCAATCCTCATTACAATGTTACATCCACCTACACCCCCTGCGATTTCCCTCCCAGCCTCACCGGCCTGGCCAGCTGAAGCAGTACTACCTCCTGAATGCTGCCTCCCTTCTTCCAGTTCTAGCTTTGCAAGTGAGAGATGGGGATAAAGTTTTGGATTTGTGCTCTGCTCCTGGGGGCAAAGCCGTTGCCATAATGCAAAGTGCAACTCCAGGTAACACATCGTTAAGAAGAGACTTTCATTATTTCATGAAAAAAATAAGCTTCAATGCAATTATAATAAAGTTGCTTTAATAAAAGATGGGTACATTACTGTCTGCAATAATTGACCTGTATAGTAAGTGTTTTTTATTGACTGATTTTTTCAATCAGATGAAATAAAACATTATTTATCACATCGTTTGACAAGAGAGATGTGTTTTTATGTTAAGAGCAATTTAAAAAAAAATCAGTCAAATGCGTTTCCTGTCTTATTAACCACAGAGAATCAGTAATTCTGCCTGGTTTGTTGTAGATCTTCTCTGCTGTAATGAGCCAGACCCTCACAGACGGGAATGGCTGGCTAAAACCCTGGAGTCCTTTCTGCCTGCCTCCCTGAGCAGCAGAGTGATGGTGTCTGCACAGGATGGCCGGTCCGTTGGGCAAAGTGAAAGCGGCTTTTATGACAAGGTGAGCAACGAACACCTGATATGTTAATGGAACTAGCAATTAAATTTTTTCTCCACATCCAACAAATTAGGGTGATACACTTTGATTTTTTCCAATTCTATGCCAACAATGCAAAGAGAGCAGCAAGCCTTTGAATAGAAGCTAATAAACCCAGCAGAAAAGAAGAAAAGCATTTATTCAAAACAGAAATTCAGACAAAACAGACAATGGCTGTAAGGAATCAGAGAATTCAAACAGGTCAATAGTGGAACAGGGTTATAAAAAAAAAGAAAATAGAGAGTTGAAGGCTTAGCTTTGCTGTGAGTGTCTCAGGGTAAAAGTGACCGATTTCTCTGCTTTGCTTTGCTTTATATATGAAATCCCTGGGAAGATATGGTGGGACAATTCTGAAAAAAATATTTATCATAAAACTTAGGAATCAGTTTTTGAGGGCGTTACAAATTAAACCATGTTATTTACGTTTAAAAAAGTAAAACAAATGTAAGTATATGTAGAAAAAAATTAAAAATAAACAAAAAATAAATGAATATTAACAAATTAACAAATTAATGTATAAGTAAACCAATAATTGCATTAAATATATAAAAAAAAAAAACAAATGTCAAGTCTTTATTGTCATTATGTCTCTATAATGGCATTGTGCAGAGAAACCCAGACATAAATTAAATCCACCTGTAGAAAATCGAAGGACAAGGCATTAGAGGAGACATGAAAATATAAAAGCTAGTATTGTTACTGACGGAGCTCCTGAATTAAAATGTTGTTTTGCAACATTTTGAGGAAATCACTGAAATCAGGGGTTTTCTGTAATATTCAGGAAATATTCAGAC